CAATTCACAGGAAGATTGGTATCTCTGACCCCCTGAAGCCAGCTTCCTCTGGCCACTCTTCCCATCTGCCTGCCCCGTTCCCCTGCAAAACCCATCACACTGACCCCCACCCCCAAAGTCTCAAAAAGAGCCTATCTCTGTCTCTGCTGAAAGAGTCCACAGGGGGATGTCCTAAACTTGCCATTTTGGCACTAGTGTTTTGAACAGGCCATTAGGAAAAGGATGCTTGATAGAAATAATCATAGTCAATGCTGCTAGGATAAACATCTGACTGAGGGATCAAACCTTTATTGTAAAAATCACACAGAAAAAAAAGGCTTGATCTTGGGGAAACTAATTTTGGCTAAACAAAATTGAAAAAAATCAGAATTAGTTAACTATGAAAGGAAATCAAGGAATTCAGTCCGCTTTAGTGGAACTCACGAAGGAAAATATTTTTGGCAAAAACTTGCCAACATTAGTTTAATGGTCTGTGTAAAAGCTCAAAATGTCAAAATATTCTCAGGGCCCAACAGCCGAGCCAAGAGCATTGTCAACCTTGTAGAGGTGGGAGCAGCACTAAAAGAAGTGGAAAGCCTTCCACCTGCCCGGGCTAGCAGTGCCCGTGATCTTAGCTCACAGGGCTGCGTCCTCCTTCAGAACTGTGCCGTTTAGGGGCAGGGGTGATAGTGCCAGTTGGTTAAGCGTTCGACTTCAGCTCAGGTCACAATCTCCTGGTTCGTGAGTTTGAGTTCTACATCTGGCTCTCTGCTGTCAGCACAGAGCCCGCTTTGGACCCTCTCTCCCCCTGTCTCTCTCTGCCCCTCCCCTGCTCATGCTCTCCTCTCTCAAAAATAAACATTAAAAAACCCCACAAAACTGTGCTGTTAGGTTCAGGAGCCGTTCTTATCCCTCTCATACTTTATCAGCGGATGAGGGCAGTTCTTGCTTGACCAGGGAGAGTTCTCCCTTGGGGAAGCAGAGAACTCTGGAGGAGTTGATCCCTGGGGCTGGGTTTTCACCTGGACGCCACTAGTGAACCCGGGCTTTCAGAGGCAGAGGATCTGGGATGTGACTGGGGGTGGGAGTGGGGAGGTCCTTAGGCGCGTCTGTGTGGCCTCAAGTCAAGATGGCCCCATTGACGAAGGCAGGAATGGTGACTATTCGTCCAACGTGTGCTTATTGAGCACCCTTCACCAAAAATCGTGGGCACTGGGTGAGGATACAGTGAACAAAAGGGCAAGGTCCCTGCCCTTTGTTGTATGTATGCCCCGCACATTCCCAGAGGATAAGATTGGTGGTAAAGCAAGCAAACCGATGAGTGTATTGTGTCGAATGGTGGCAGTGAGGTGAAGACGAAGACACCCATAGTTTGAAAAGATCGCCCTGAGTGCCATGTGAAGATGAGATCATAGGGAGAAGGCAAGAAGCCAGAAGCTCAGTTGGGAAGTATGGCATCACCAGGAGAGAGATGATAGTACCCTGGTGTAGAAGGTTAACTCTGGAGCTGGAGCAAAGTGGATGGGTTTGAAATGTGTTTAAGTACTAGAGCTGATGGATTGGATGTGAGGGGCCGGGGGAAAGAGGGATTCGGGGTATGGACTTGAATAGCTAGGTGGATAATGGTGCTGTCTTTTGAGGCTGAGGAAACTAAAAGAGAGGCATTGAAGGTATGGGCACGTGTGAATTAAAAGTTGTTTTGGCCATGTTATGTTTGAGAGGCCCAATGAGGCATCCAGGTGGGTCGAGCTCAATGGAGAGGTCAAGCAGGACTACGATTTGGGACTCATTGGTTTATAAATGGTATTCAAATCACTTAGACTCTAGATCTTTTTTTTTTCTTTAGTTGCTTTTTTAACATTTATTTAAAAAAAAAAATTTTTTTTAACGTTTATTTATATTTGAGACAGAGAGAGACAGAGCATGAATGGGGGAGGGTCAGAGAGAGAGGGAGACACAGAATCCGAAACAGGCTCCAGGCTCTGAGCGGTCAGCACAGAGCCTGACGCGGGGCTCGAACTCCCAGACCGCGAGATCATGACCTGAGCCGAAGTCAGACACTTAACCGACTGAACCCCCAGGAGCCCCTAGGCTCTAGATCTTCTAGTAGTGGTTCTCAAGTAGCAGTGACTTGCCCTCTTCTTTCAGGGGACATTTGGCAACATCCAGAAACAGTTTGGGTTGTTTACAACTGGGTGGGGAGGGCTTTGCTACTGGCATCTAGGGGGTGGAGGCCAGGGATGCTGCTAAACATCCTGCAGTGCACAGGTCAGCCCCCCCACAGCACAGACTTATCTGGCCTCGAATGTCAATGTCAATGGTGCTGAGGTTGAGATCCCTGTCCTACAGAGAGTGTAGACAGAGAAGGAAAGAGATGACTGCCTAAGGACTTTTGTTTTTTAAATATATCTTTAAAAAAAATTTTTTTAATGTTTTGAGAGAGAGAGAGACAGAGCGTGAGCCAGGGAGGTCAGAGAAGGAGGGAGACACAGAATCCAAAGCAGGCTCCAGGATATAAGCTGTCAGCACAGAGCCTGACACGGGGCTCCAACTTGTGAACTGTGAGATCATGACCGGATGTATCTAAATATCTTTTTATTTTCATTTTGTTTCTCCCCTACTTGTGCTCTCTCTCTTAAAATAAACAGAGAGAGAGGGAGAGAGAGAGAGAATCCGAAGCAGGCTCCTCAGTGTCAAGTGCAGAGCCCAATGAGGGGTTCCAGCTCCTGAACTGTGAGATCATGGTGACCTGAGCAGAAACCAGGAGTTGAATACTTAACTGACTGAGCCACCCAGGAGCCCCATGGACTTTCTTAACATGAGGAAATAGAGCCTCCCACCCAGAAGACCAAGTAGCAGCAAACAGTGGGAGAAGAGAAGCCTGGGGAGTGGAGTGTTCTGAGAGTAGAGAGTATTGGGAGGGAGAGGTGCTGAACTGGGTTAAGTGCTAAGAGGCTCCATCCTTTGAGCCCAGGGAGAAGTGATTAATGGCTGAGGGGAGGTGGACATTGTTGATGACCTTGATAAGAACAATTCCTACAGTTCGATGGGCTCCAGGGGAGAAGATTGTATTTCTTCCCTGTTCAGAATGTCTCACATGTGTAATTTCATTAATCCACACACAATAGGGAGGTGCTATTATCTTGGTTTTTACAGAAGTGGCAATATTACTAATAGCCCCGTTTTATAGAGGTAGAAACTGAGGCGCAGAGAGACTAATTACTCCCCCGTGATCAGGCAGCCGACAGTAAGCGGCACAGCCAGGATTTGGACCTAGAGAGTCTGGAAGCGAGGAAGTGGAGGGAGTGAGATGTCTCTCTGTAGAGAACAGAGATGGGTACCGAGGATGTTTGCCTGCTGATAGGAATGATCCATGTGGAGGCTGAAATTGGTGATGTTGGAGGGGAGGCTGATGACTTAGTGGGAAGGATCCAGGGCCCATGGTGAGGGGGGTGGCCTTTCCCAAGAGCATTCTACTGGTTACTCTGAAGTGGGTCCTAACTGTCCTGAGCAAGATTATCCCTAGACTCAACTTCTCTCCCACATGCCCCCTGCTGGCCGCCAGAGGCCTGCTGGCTAACTCTTTGTAGCCCCCACCCCTGCTAAAAGGTAGCCTTCCTGTAGAAGTGGCTGCACAGGCCCAACCTTTCCCCCTCCATGTTCTTGGGGCACAAGAGCCCAGCCCAGCCCGGGCAGGCAGTTCTGTCAGTACACATCAGCGATTCTCCACCCAACTTTGGCCTCCGTGATCTTTGTCCTCAGCCTACAAGGCCCCTCCGCAGGGTCATGGCTTATTACTCTCTACCTGCTGTCACACCAGCCTCCTTTGGACTCTGTCAAGTACTGAATGTTCTTCCCTTCCTCACCCTCTCTCCCTTCTCTGCCTGGCTAAGTCTTGCATAGCCACCTGGTTCAGCCTAGCAGTCGCATCTCAGCCCTTTCTGTCTGCTCCAGCCAGATGAGGCCCTCCTGTTAGCTTGTCCTCCAACACTGGATGCTGACTCTTGTAGTGCTTTTCCTGTTTATAATGTGGTTTTTGGCTCAATGTCTGTATTCCATGCTAGGCTGTAACCTTCATGAGGGTAGTCTGTTTCACCAGTTATTTCCAGTGCCTGGTATACAGTAGGTGCTCAGTAATGAAATGAAAGAAGAAAGGAATCGGTGACTGTATTACAGCCTACTGTGTATTTCTCTGGCTCAGATATGCTGTGTACAATACTTGATTCTCTGTGATGCACATGTTACTACAAATTTTTGAAGCTTTCCGGATCACCTTCATGATTATTTTCATCTTTGTTTGAAGGTGTGTTAAAGAGTTTAATCCAGTATCTTTGGCCATTCATTTTTTTTTAAATTTTTTTAACGTTTTATTTATTTTTGAGACAGAGACAGAGCATGAACGGGGGAGGGGCAGAGAGAGAGGGAGACACAGAATCGGAAGCAGGCTCCAGGCTCTGAGCCATCAGCCCAGAGCCCGACGCGGGGCTCGAACTCATGGACCGCGAGATCGTGACCTGAGCTGAAGTCGGACGCTTAACCGACTGAGCCACCCAGGCACCCCTGGCCATTCATTTAAAATGGAAAGAAGGGGGCGCCTGAGTGGCGCAGTCGGTTAAACGTCAGGCTTTGGCTCAGGTCATGATCTCGCAGTTCGTGAGTTCGAGCCCCACCTCGGGCTCTGTGCTGACAGCTCAGAGCCTGGAGCCTGTTTCGGATTCTGTGTCTCCCTCTCTCTGACCCTTCCCGGTTCATGCTCTGTCTCTCTCTGTCTCAAAAATAAATAAACGTTAAAAAAAATTAAAATATATATATAAAAAATAAAATGGAAAGAGGCACTAGTCCACTAGGCTCCATGCTGAGCATTGATCCTGCTTAAGGTTCTGTCTTCCCCTCCCTCCCCCCCTTTTTCTCCCTCCCTCTCCCTCTCTCCCCTGCTCGCTCTTGCGCTTTTTCTCACTCTAAAGTAAATAAATAAAATAAAGAGGTACTAAGCTTATACATTGTTGATTCTTCCCAGTAGGATGGCTGGTTTGGTTTTGTGTGAACCAACAGAGCTTTACAACATCTTGAATCAGGTCACAAAACTGTCACGACTGACTGAACCCAACTATCTCTGCCTATTGGGTAAGTGCTTTAAAAATACGATTTTTGGTGAATCAACAAACCTATGGGGATGAGGGAATAAATGACTTTAGAAAACCTTTAGATTCCTTCGACATAGCTTAAAATGATGCTACTAATTGTCACATGACTTGGAAATCATTCCAGGTTAGGTCTAGAAGTTCTTGGAAGACCTGTGTTCTTGTCAAGTGAAACATTTCAAACATCCAGCAAATACATAGTGATGCTGATAAATGCCCATGTACCCACCACTCAGATTCAGCGTACATAACGTTACACATAGATGTACCCCTCTATCGTACCCCATCCTGATCCCATCGCTTCTCCTCCCCAAAGATGATCGGTTCTGTATTTTTACATTTTTACTATATATGCAGGCATCCTGAAATAACGTGTGGCTTGATCATTTATACAAATTGTACCGTAATGTACAATCATTCTGCAGCTTGCTTTTTCTTAGAATTTTTGAGATCTACCCCACCTCCCCACCCCATGTCTAAATTTGAAGATCTGTTTTAACTGTCAGGGTAGCGCCCATTGCTAATCAGTCGTGATGTGTTGCTTGCGTTGTGTTTGTATTGATGAACAGTGCCTTGTGCGACTCTTATTCACGGGCAAGAATTTCTTCAGGGTACCTAACTAGAAATGGAATTGACAAGTTGCAGATTCTGCTTTCACTACAGTATTGTCAAATTGCCTCCAAAAAGATGATCATTTTGCATTCCCGTCGTCAGTGTAAGACCCATACCTACCGACACCTTTTGTCAGCCTGGAAAATTTTTGCATTCTGATTGGTGTGAACTTGTGATTTTTTTTTTCTCCCCCAATTAAAAAAATCACAATAAAATACACATAACATAAAATGTGCTGTTTTGACCACTTTTAATTGTACAGTTCAGTGTATCAAATACGTTCATAATGTTGCACGGTATTATGCACACCACCATCCATCTCCATAACTCCTCATCCTGTAAACTCTAAAACTTATACCCATTGAACACTAACTCCCCATCCCTCCCATCCCTAGTCCCCTGGAAATCCCCATTCTCCTTTCTGCCTCTGTGATTTTTAAAAAAATTTTTGAATGTTTTTTAAAATTTATTTTTGAAGGAGAGAGAGAGACAGAGCATGAGTAGGGGAAGAACAGAGAGAGAGGGAGACACAGAATCCGAAGCCAGGCTCCAGGCTCTGAGCTGTCAGCACAGAGCCTGATGCGGGGCTTGAACCCACAAACTGTGAGATCATGACCTGAGCCGAAGTCGGATGCTTAACCGACTGAGCCACCCAGGCGCCCCATCTGCCTCTATGATTTTTGACCATTGCAGGTCATGTAAGTGGAGCCATACAGTATTTGTGTTTTGCAGCCGGCTTATTTCACTGAGCATCATCACATCATCCGGGTTCTTCATGTTGTAGCATATTGCAGAATTTTCCTAAGGCTGAATAACATTCCGTTGTATGTATATACCACATTTTGCTTATCCATTTATTTGTCAACAGACATTTGGGTTGCCTGCATGTTTTAGCTATCGTGAATGATGATGATCATGGGTGTACAAATATTTCTGAGCCCCTGCTTTTATTTATTTTGGGTATATAAACCAGAAATGGAATTGTTGCATCATGTGGTGATTCTATTTTTAATTTTTTGAGAAATTGCCCCATTGTTTTCCACAGCAGCTGCATCATTTTACATGAACACAAGGGTTCACAAATTTCTAATTCTTCCATGTCATTGTCAACACTTGTTATTTTCTGTTTTTTTGGGGGGGGTAGTAATCATTCTAAGAGGAGGGAGATAGAATCTCCATATAATTCTGATTTGCATTTCCCTAATGATTAGTGATGTTGAGCATCTTTTCCATGTACTTATTGGCCATTTGTGTATCTTCTTTGGAGAAATATGGGATCGAGTCCTTTGCCCGTTTTTGAATCTTTTTTTTTTTTTTTTTTTTTTTTACCTTTGAGTTTTATCAGTTATCTACATATTCTGGATATTAATACCTTATCAAATTTAACTGTCATGAATTTCAGTTTGCCTAATTCTTTTTCATTTGTTGCCCATGCCTTTGGTGTCCTATCCAGGAAATCATTGCCGAATCCGATGTCATGAAGATTTGCCCTATGTTTTCTTCTTCAAGTTTATAGTTCTGGTCTTGCATTTAGGTCTTTGATCCATTTTGAGTTAATTTGTGTATGTAGTGTTAGATAAAGGTCCAACTTCATTCTTTTGCATGAGGATATCCAATTTTCCCAGCACCATTGTTTGAAAAGACTGTCCCATTCTTAGTCTCTTGAGATTCTGTACGAATTTTAGAGGATGTGTCTTCCTTCCTTCCTTCCTTCCTTCCTTCCTTCCTTCCTTCCTTCCTTCCTTCCATGTTTATTTATTTTGGGGGGGGTGGGAGGGGGTGGGGAAGATATAGTGCAGAGCCCGATGTGGGGCTTGATCTCATGAATCCTGAGACCATGACCTGAGCCAAAATCAGTCGGCCACTTAACTAACTGAGCCACCCAGGCACCCTGGGTTTTTCTCTTTCTATAAAAAAAATCATTGGGAGTTTGATAGATAGTGCATTGAATCTATAGATTGTTTTGAAATTTTGTTTTGTATAGTATTGACATCTTAACAACATTGTTTCCCAGTTCATGAACATGGAGAGTTTTTCCACTAATTTGTCCTTTAATTTCTTTCAGCAACATTTTGTAGTTTTCCACGTACAAGTCTTTTGCTTCTTTGGTTAAATTAATTCTTAAGTATTTTATTCCTTTTGACATAATTGAAAATGGAATTATTAATTTCTTTGTCAGGTCGTTTATTGTGAGTGTATAGAAACACAACTGATTTTTGTGTGTTAACTTTATATCCTGTAGCTGTGATGAATTCATTTGTTCTAACAGGTTTTTTTGTTTGTTTGTTTGTTTGTTTTGGGTTTTTTTTGGTCAGATCTTCAGGGTTTTTCAAATCTCATTGAACTTTACAGTACAAAGAATATATTTTAATGTATGGAATTTTTAGAAGTTTATTTTTTTTTTAGGGGCGCCTGGGTGGCGCAGTCGGTTAAGCGTCCGACTTCAGCCAGGTCACGATCTCGCGGTCCGGGAGTTCGAGCCCCGCGTCAGGCCCTGGGCTGATGGCTCAGAGCCTGGAGCCTGTTTCCGATTCTGTGTCTCCCTCTCTCTCTGCCCCTCCCCCGTTCATGCTCTGTCTCTCTCTGTCCTAAAAATAAATAAACGTTGGAAAAAAAAAAATTTAAGAAGTTTATTTTTTTTTAGTAATTTCTGCAGTCACCATGGGTCTCAAATTGATGAACCCCAGATCAAGAGTCACTTGCTCCTCCAACTGAGCCAGCCAGGTGCCCTTTAGGGTTTTTTTGTTTTGTTTTGCTTTTTTTTGTTTTTTTTGTTTTTTTGTTTTGTTTTGTTTTTACACATATGAGATGATGTCATCTGCAAACTGAGCTGATTTTGCTTCTTCCTTTACAATTTAGATGCCCTCTATTTCCTTTTCTTGCCTAATTGCTCTGGCTAGGGCTTCTAGTACTTTGTTGAATAAAAGTGGTGAAAGTCCACATCCTTGTGTTTTTCCTGACTTAGAGGAAATGTCTTTAGTCTTTCACCATTGAATATGACGTTTGCTCCATTTTTTTTTTTTTAACATGTGGTTTTAGTATGTTGAGGTAGTTTCTTTTTATTCCTGGTTTGCTGCACGTCTTTCTTATGAGAGTGTACCACATTTTGTCAAATGCTTTTTCTCATCGGTTGGAATGATCATGTGGTTTCTTTCTTTCATTCTGTTGATGTGGTATATTACATTGACATTTTGGTGTGTTGAATTGTCCTTACATTTCACAAATAAATCCCACTTGTTTATGGTATGTAATCCTTTTAATATGCGGCTAATATTTTTTTGGAGAATTTTTGCATCAGTGTTCATACTGGCCTGTAGGTTTTTTGTTTCTCTGTTTTTCTTGTAGTTTCTTTTGCTTTGGTATCAGGGTAACGTTGGCTTCATAGAATGACTTAGGAAGTGTTCTTTCCTCTTCAATTTTTTTTGAAAAGTGAGAAGTATTGGGATTAGTTCTTCTTTACATATTCACCAGTGAATGCATCAGGTCCAGGGCTGATTTTTCTTTATTAAATACATTGTATTTTAAATCTTTTTTTTTTTAGTTTATTTATTTTTGAGAGAGAGAGAGAGCATGCAAGCACAAGTGGAAGAGGGACAGAGAGAAGGAGAGACAGAATCTCAAGCAGGCTCCATGCCATCAGCACAGAGCCCAATGTGAGGCTCGAACTCACAAACCATGAGACCATGACCTGAGCTGAAACCAAGAGTTGGACGCTCAACTGTCTACACCACCCAGGAACTCTAAATCAATATTTTAATAAACACATGAAATTCTTCTCTTTGGGGATGAATAGATCTCTAGGTCAGGGATTTCAAAAGGTTTATCATCATCTTTCAAGACAATACACTGAATTCTGAAGTGTTAGATTGGTAAGAAGCAATGGATGAGATCTTTTCTGGGATCTGCTTTTGGTCAGATATGGGAAAGACCCTTCAGAGTAGTGGACTTGGGGAGAGTACAGACCAGGGAAAAACCTCAGTGCATGCACTATACCTGGCTTATAATTCTGCTTTGGGTCAACTCTACCAGTACAAGAATATACATGTGAATTATAATAATATTGAATGTAGTTTAAACTCTTTTCTATGAATATATATCCTGTATAGATCCAGCCTGATAATTAGAGTGGTTGAGTGGTCTATGCAATGCTTCTTCTCCTTTTTTTTTTTTTTTTTT